TGCCTGCCACTGCGCCCGGCTAATTTTTGTATTTTTAGTAGAGACGGGGTTTCGCCGTGTTAGTCAGGGTGGTCTCGATCTCCCGACCTCGTGATCCGCCAGTCTCGGCCTCCCAAAGTGCTGGGATTACAGGCGTGAGCCACCACGCCTGGCCTAATTTTTGTATTTTTAGTAGAGATGGGGTTTTGCCACATTGCCCAGACTGGTCTCAAACTTCTGACCTCAAGTGATTTGCCTGCCTTGGCCGCCTAAAGTGCTGGGATTGCAGGCATAAGCCACTGTGTACAACCTAAAAACTATGATTTAAGTAAACAACCCATAAAATATTTCTTACTGCTATTTTTACTAAAGATTTTTACTAAAGATATCTTGGCCGGGTGAAGACTTTTCTAGTGTTTCTGTAACTAGGGTAAAAAATGAACTCTATTACATGGCTGCTCTGTGTTTACATGAAAGCAGTATACTCCTCATAAATAAACTTTTAGTTTATTTTATTTTTTAAACACTGCAGCCTCGACATGCTTCATGGAGGGGCCTGCGTGGGAAGAATGCTCCCGCTCAGCATAAAGAATGCTCTTCACCTCTGGGTTTTTAACTAGCCAAACTAAAATCACAGAGGCCAATACAGTATTTAAGATAGAAACTTCTGTGTCTTTTAACTTTTTTTTTTTTTTTTTTTTGAGACAGAGTCTCACTCTGTCGCCCAGGCTGGAGTGCAGTGGCCGGATCTCAGTTCACTGCAAGCTCCGCCTCCCGGGTTTACGCCATTCTTCTGCCTCAGCCTCCCGAGTAGCTGGGACTACAGGCCCCCGCCACCTCGCCCGTTTTTTTTTTTTTTTTTTTTAGTAGAGACGGGGTTTCACTGTGTTAGCCAGGATGGTCTCGATCTCCTGACCTCGTGATCCGCCCGTCTCACCTCCCAAAGTGCTGGGATTACAGGCTTGAGCCACCACGCCCGGCCTTAACTTTTTTTCAAAATAGTTTTACTTATTTTCAGATTCTATTTCTTTCCTAGAATTAGGGGATAAAATAACAATGTGTGCATAGTGAACCCTATGAAACAAACAAAAGCTAGGTTTTTTCATAACTCTTCTTCCAGACTGAATGAAACATCTGTTCTAAAATTTAACCCCAAAGGAAAATATTCAGTTAACTATGTTAAAAAACCAAGACTTGTGATTGAGTTTTGCCTGAAAATGGTTTCATAATTATGTGTGAATGTGTGTCTTTCCCATCTTCTCCACAGGGTTTGTGCCTTACATTATTACTCCTCGCCATTTTCAAGAAAGCATTGCCAGCTCTTCCAATCTCCATCACCTTTGGGCTTGTTTTCTACTTTGCCACAGATTATCTTGTACAGCCTTTTATGGACCAATTAGCATTCCATCAATTTTATATCTAGCATATTTGCGGTTAGAATCCCATGGATGTTTCTCCTTTGACTATAACAAAATCTGGGGAGGACAAAGGTGATTTTCCTGTGTCCACATCTAACAAAGTCAAGATTCCTGGCTGGACTTCCACAGCTTCCTTCCAAGTCTTCCTGACCACCTGCACTATTGGACTTTGGAAGGAGGTGCCTATAGAAAATGATTTTGAACATACTTCATCGCAGTGGACTATGTCCCTCGGTGCAGAAACTACCAGATTTGAGGGACGAGGTCAAGGAGACATGATGGGCCCGGAAGTTGCTGTGCCCCGTCAGCAGCTTGATGCTTGGTCACAGGATGATTTCGCCGACACTGCGGACTCTCAGGACTACCGTTACCAAGAGGTTAGATGAAGTGGTTTAAACCAAACGGAACTCTTCATCTTAAACTACACGTTGAAAATCATCCCAATAATTCTGTATTAACTGAATTCTGAACTTTTCAGGAGGTACTGTGAGGAAGAGCAGGCACCAGCAGCAGAATGGAGAGGTGGGCAGGGGCTCCAGCTTCCCTTTGATTTTTTGCTGCAGACTCATCCTTTTTAAATGAGACTTGTTTTCCCCCGTCTTTGAGTCAGGTCAAATGTGTAGATTGACTTTGGCAATTCTTCTCAAGCACTGACACTCATTACCATCTGTGATTGTCATTTCTTCCCAAGGCCAGTCTGAACCTGAGGTTGCTTTATCCTAAAACTTTTAACCTCAGGTTCCAAATTCAGTAAATTTTGGAAATAATACAACTATTTCTCTCAGTTCTCTATCATCTTGAAGTCAAATTTGGATTTTCCACCAAATTCTGAATTTGTAGACATACTTGTAGGCTCACTTGCCCCAGATGCCTCCTCTGTCCTCATTCTTCTCTCACCCCCACACAAGCCGTCCTTTTCTACAGTCAGTAAGGCAGCTCTGTCGTGGTAGCAGATGGTCCCATTATTCTAGGGTTTTACTCTTTGTATGATGAAAAGAATGTGTTATGAATTGGTGCTGTCAGCCCTGCTGTCAGACCTTCTTCCACAGCAAATGAGATGTATGCCCAAAGACAGTAGAATTAAAGAAGAGTAAAATGGCTGTTGAAGCACTTTCTGTCCTGGTTTTTTGTTTTTGTTTTTGCTACACAGTAGGTCAGAATTCGAACTAATAGCCAAAAGCTGGTGGTTGATGAATTATGAACTAGTTGTATCAACAGAAAGCAAGAGTTTGGGGAAAGCCATATTTAATTTGGTGAACTGTGGGAGAACCTGGTGGCAGAAGGAGAACCAACTGCTGAGGGGAAAGAGAAGGGGCCTCCAGCAGCGAAGGGGATACAGTGAGCTAATGATGTCAAGGGGGAGTGTCAGGTTATTCTCATCAGCTCCACAATGGGTGCTTTGTGGTCTCTGCCCGTGTTACCTTTCCTCTCAATGTACCTTTGTGTGAACTGGGCAGTGGAGGTGCCTGCTGCACTTACCATGGAGTTCAGGCTCTGGGCAGCTCAGTCAGGCAAAACACACAAACAGCCATCAGCCTGTGGGCCCAGGGCACCTCTGGACCAAGCTTTGTGGGGCAAAACCTTCTTCACCACAGAGAGCCCGTAGCCATGCTGATCAGACCATAAGCGTTTATGAGAAACTTAGTTTCCTCCTGTGGCTGAGGAGGGGCCAGCTTTTTCCTCTTTTGCCTGCTGTTCTCCCTTCCAACCTATGATATGATGTGACCTGGTTTGGGGTTCTCTTTGGCGTTTAGAATATTTGTTTTCTGTCCCAGGATATTTCTTATAAGAACCTAACTTCAAGAGTAGTGTGCGAGTACTGATCTGAGTTTAAATTAAAATTGGCTTATATTAGGCAGTCAAAGACAGGAAAAATAAGAGCTATGCAAAGAAAAGGGGATTTAAAGTAGTAGATTCTGTCATCTCAATTCATTTTTTTCCATGAAACCCCCTTCTTCCAAGATTCATTCCTTCTCTCAGACATGTGCCAGCATGGGTATTATCGTTGAGAAAGCACAGCTACAGCAAAGCCACCCGAATAGCAATTTGTGATTGGAAGCATTCTTGAGGGATCCCTCATCTAGAGTAGTTTACTTGTGTAAGGATCCCAAATGTGTTGCACCTTTCATGATAAGTTTCGTCTCTGAAGAGGGTACGTGGGGTGTGTGTATTTAAATCCATCGTGTGTATTACTGATTGTCTTTGTAGAAAGATGGCAGTTATTCTGTCTCTTTCTCCAAGTTTGAGCCACTTCTCAGCCACATGATAAGCCAGTGTACAGAGAACCTATCTTTCCTTTTTTTTTGTTTTTTAAGGACAGGATTTTGCTGTGTTGCCCAGGCTAGACTTGAACTCCTGGGCTCAAGTAATCTACCTCAGCCTTCTGAGTAGCTGAGACTACAGCCCATCTTATTTCTTTAAATCATTCATCTTAGGCAGAGAACTTTTCCGTCAAACATTCTTTTTAGAATTAGTTCATTCGTTCCTAAAACATCCAAATGCTAGTCTTCCACCATGAAAAATAGATTGTCACTGGAAAGAACAGTAGCAATTTCCATAAGGATGTGCCTTCACTCACATGGGACAGGTGGTGGTTATGGAGTCGGGCAAAACCAGCAATAGAGTATGACCAGCCAAGCCAATCTGCCTAATAAAAAGAAGGAAGACAGTAAGGAAGGAAGGTAGCCACTAAGAGTCTGAGTCTGACTGGGCTACCGAATAAAGGGTATTTATGTACCGAATGTCATTACATGCCTATGGGAATACCAGTCATATTTGGAAGATTTGCAGATTTTTCTTCAGAGAGGAAAGGCTCACTTTCCTGTTTTTGATTCTCACTAGGTTAGTGTGTGTTCCTAGAATCACAGCTCTGACTCCAAATGACTAAATTTCTCAATCAGAAAAAATAGAAGCTTTCTAAGCAACTTGGAAGAAAACAGTCATAAGTAAGCAATTTGTTGATTTTACTACAGAAGCAACAACTGAAGAGGCAATGTTTCTACTTTTCGGCTCCAGGATTCCCATATTGTAGTCTCTCTACTTTTAAAAACCCTCCTTTTGCAATAGATGCCCAACCAGATGATGTTTATTACTTCTTCTTTGGCCTCAAACAGTGTAGGTATTCTTGATATAATTTGTAGAATGAGAAATGTAAGTTTAACTACCAAATAAGGTCTCCCAGGGTTAGAGTACTGCAGGAAGCCTTTGATCCCAACCCCCAAGGCTTTGTATATTTGATCATTTGTGATCTAACCCTGGAAGAAAAAGAGCTCAGAAACCACTATGAAAAGATTTGTTCAGTGTTTTCTGTGATCCTGCAGGTTCTGGAGTCTAAGAATGTAAAGATGAATAAGATAAATTCTCAGAATGTAGTTAATAATCTCTTGTTTTCTGGTATATGCCATCTTTCTTTAACTTCTCTAAAATATTGGATATTTGTCAATAACCACTTTTAACAGTTACCTTTACTGAGGGCTTATACATTGATGTTATGAAAGTGACTTGATTCAGAAGCCAATCCATTCAGTAAAGTACTCATTTTTCTCTAAATTTGCTGTTAGACATAAGGAACGGTTTGACCTGCCCTTCTCCTCACCTCCAAGGGTATTCTGAACATTGAATTTGGAAAGAGACTTGCAAATTGTACATTTGGTTTTGCCCTTGGGATGGAAACTATCATATAATCATTAGTTTGAGCCTAGAAGTGATCCTTGTGATCCTCTCACCTCTTTAAATTCCCACAACACAGGAGATTAAAACCAGAGGTTTCAGCTCTTCATAGTGCTTTGTGAAATTGCTGGCCAGAGTGTACCAACAAGGCTGTCATTGGGCTCAGAGCTCAGAGTCATCTGCATGTGATCATCTCCACAGTCCTCTCCTCTAACGGGAAACACCTCAGATTTGCATATAAAAAAGCACCCTGGTGCTGAAATGAACCCCTTTCTTGAACATCAAAGCTGTCTCCCACAGCCTTGGGCAGCAGGGTGCCTCTTAGTGGATGCTGGGTCCACCCTGGGCCCCGACATGTGGTGGCAGCGTTTCCAGCTGGTCTGCGTAGCAGGGACGATTTCCCAGAAAGCAGTTTTCCCTTTGAAATACGTAATTGTTGAAACGAGGCAGTTTCAAAATCAACTGCATATAGTAGCACGTACAGGATGGTCTTGTTCATGGTGCCCTTGGAGGTGCTGGGATGAGGGTTTCAGCGGGATCATTTGCTCTCACATGTTGTCTGGCTTCTGCTTCTCTGGACACTGCTTTGCACTTAATTCAGACAGACTGTGAATACACCTTTTTTATAAATACCTTTCAAATTCTTGGTAAGATATAATTTTGATAGCTGATTGCAGATTTTCTGTATTTGTCAGATTAATAAAGACCGCATGAATCCAGCTGTGCTAGTTTTCTTACATGAAAGTATCATAATGTATAACTGTAACTCAGAGAACTGTCTAGCACTTATCAAGAAACAGTTTAGAATACAAAAATTAGCTGGGCATGGTGGCGGGCACCTGTAGTCCCAGTTACTCGAGAGACTGAGGCACGAGAATCGCTTGAACCCGGGAGGCAGAGGTTGCAGTGAGCCGAGATCTCACCACTGCACTCCAGCCTGGGCGACAGAGCGAGATTCTGTCTCAAAAAAAAAAAAATTAGAAACAAATGCATTGTTTCTATTCTTAACTCATAAGAAAGTGGTATGGATTATAGCATGCCACACCTCTGAAGAGTGCAATATTAAACCTGTTTATAAAAACCTCAAAGCAGCTGTCCCTTACATTCTGAAAGATACTTTTTCTAACAACTTTCACACTCATGTAAATATGTCAGAACAAACTATAAACTTACAAGACATGTATGTTGTACAATGCAGATATGTGTGGGAGGATTATTTTTTAAAGAAATTGTGTAGGTCACACTAATGAGAAAAAGCAGCATTACTTTTATTGACTTGGTAGAGCATAGAATGTCCTCTCCATCCCCAAACTTGATAAAACCTTTTGTTTCTAAACAGTAAGTAACATAGAATGTTGGAAATGATCAGAAATGTGTTTATGGCAGAAAAGCCACAGTTGGCCATGGTCTTCAGAAGGGGCAGATAAGAGATTGATGTGTTCCCGGCTACATCTGCTAAGGGCCTCAGGAAGCAGGAAATGTTTATTCCCTCCTTTGAGAATTGGAGGCATCATTCATTTTCATGGGTCTTTTAGGCAGTGTCTGTGGAGACTCCTACAGAGGCATCAGGACTTGGGAGAGGTTGCTGATTTTTAGGGGTCCAGACAATGGTGTTTTTGAGGAGAATGAGGAGGGACTTTGAGCAGGGTTGAGAAGCAAGGATAACAAGGCTGGGTTTCCTGTGTCTCTGGGTAAGTTCTGTAGCTTTCCGTCAGCCCATGCCACACCTTCTCCCTGGGGACCCTTCTGTGTGCGGTGTGGAGAATAGCTTAGGATCTGGTTAAAAGTGAAATGACAGCATACTCGAGTACAACGAGGGTAATGTTGACTTGTCATTCGAGTAAGAATGCAGAGTAAAGGAGAGATCCACAAAAGCAGGGGTTTAAAATCAGAAATTTCTCAGAAGGTTTTTTGTTGTTTTGGAGACGAGGTCTGGCTCTGTTGCCCAGGTTGGAGTGTAGTAGCATGATCATGGCTCACTGCATTGTTGAACTCCTGGGTTCAAATGATCCCCCAACTTCAGCCTCCTGAGTAGCTGGAACTACAGGTGTACACCTCCATGCCTGGCTAGTTATTTTTTATTTTGTGTAAAGACTGGGTCTTGCTTTGTTGTCCAGGCTGGTCTTGAACTGCTGGGCTCAAGTGATCCTCTCAGCTCAGCCTCTCGAAGTGCTGGGATTATAAGAGTGAGCCACTGTGCCAGGCCAGAAATAAAGTTTTGAACTGAGTTTGGAAAGAGGGGAAAAGCCTGAATTGGCCAAGAAGGCAAAAGACATATACTGTACTAAAAATCAGGAAGACAGAAGTATTTGGGAGACACCTATGGATAATTGGTTTTTGAATAAAGGTGATGATTTATTCAGAGGAAAATTCAGTTAGCTAACCAAATCTGTTTTCATATTTACTTAGAATATATCTCCTTCAGCACATGACTTGTGGCGACCTAGAGGATGATGACCTAATCTACCACAGGGGTCTTTCAACATGTAAAGTGTCCCATGCTTGGAGAAGGTTGACTTGCTCGCATGGACTGTCCTGTGCCTGGTATGCCACGCCCTTCAAAGGGAGAGACAGGAAAAGCCTCAAGAACCAGATTTGTTTCAAGTCCTAATTGTTGGCAGAAAGGGAGACATGCTCTTGCTGCCTCTGTTTCTTCTACCTTTTTTTTTTTTTTTTTTTTTGAGATGGAGTCTTGCTCTGTTGCTCAGGCTGGAGTGCTGCGATCTCGGCTCACTGCAGCCTCTGCCTCTTGGGTTCCAGCAATTCTCCTGCCTCAGCCTTCTGGGTAGCTGGGATTACACCGCGCCCTGCTAATGGTTTTTTGTGGGTTTTTTTTTGTATTTTTAGTAGAGATGGGGTTTCAGCATGTTGGCCAGACTGGTCTCGAACTCCTGACCTCAGGTGATCTGCCTGCCTCGGCCTCCCAAAGTGCTGGGATTACAGGCATGAGCCACCATGCCTGGCCTGCTTTTTTTTTTTTTTTTTTAATAGCATAGGATTTGATATAGACTGTACATAACCCAAGGTCAATTTCTCGTGCATAAGAGGAAAGGATTTTCTTATCCTTATGGAGTAAACCTATAGCATACCTCAAGGTGGACCTGTAGGCGAAAGTCTGATTGTGAGTTGTTTTCTCGGTAGTAGACTAAACTCAAGGATAGAGGTACATGTATGATGTAAAGGGGAAACAAGACTTGGAGCTAGATAAACATGATGCCACATTTAAATACCTGAATTTAAGAGAGTGCTTTCAGGGCTAGTGGGTCTCCATACAGGGATGGAGAGAGAGTGGTCTTTCAAATGCTCGATGAGAAACCGAGGAGAGAGATTCGGAACGTTATCTTGCATTCAGGTTTTCAAAAATGTTGTCCTATGACTTACTAGGTAACAACTGGTTTTTCTGTTTACTAATCAGATTTACCCACATATGTCATAAAATAGTATTAAACTTGTTTAGTGAGATAACTGAGTTTTAATTTACGTGGGCTAGGTGTATGATTTATAAATGTATAATTGATGTATAGTTTATAAATTTATACATGAATATGAGAGTTCTTCAGATTTTCTGAAATGTCAAAAATGGCTTCCATGCCTCCTCCTCCCCCAGGGGACATCTGCTCGGGAGGCCTTGTTTTGGTTTCTCCTAACCCAGCTTTCCTTTACCCCAGCTCCCAGTTCAGGGATCTTCTCTATGATCACCCAGCTCCAAGGTCATCTAGTTTAAAATGTCACCAGGCTTGAGGACTGGAACATCCCAGCAGAAGGGGAGGGGCTTTTTATCTTGGGGAACCTGCACAGGGCCAAGCACAGTCTGAGGCCATGCTTGGTTGCAACGGTGTCTGCCGTCACTTTGGTTTATTTCATATCTGCCCCCTAGGCCGGGGCTGGGAGAGCTGAGCCAGTGCTTCACATTTTTGTTTGTTTGTTTATTTATTTTTATTTTTATGGTTTTTTTTTCGAGATGGAGTCTCCTTCTGTCATCCAGGCTGGAGTGCAATGGTGTGAACTCGGCTCACTGCAACCTCTGCCTCCTGGGCTCAAGTAATTCTCCTGCCTCAGCATCCTGAGTAGCTGAGATTACAGGCGCCCGCCAGCACACCCAGCTAATTTTTGTAGTAGAGACGAGGTTTCGCCATGTTGGCCAGGCTGGTCTTGAACTCCTGACCTCAGGTGATCTGCCCGCCTCGGCCTCCCAAAGTGCTGGGATTACAGGCGTGAGCCACTGTGCCTGGCCAGTGTTTCACGTTTTGTAAATGTGGCTTCTCTGGCTCTCAAGTAACTTCTGTGGGCATCCAGAAATTAGTTCCAGGATGTTTTAGATCCTTCGGCCTCTGTCAGACCTGAAAGTAAGCCAGCCTGCCTGGGTTAATGTGCTGTTGATGGCACAGGCCATTTGCACTGGCGATGTAGAGTGCTGCCCACTGAGCCAGGGTGCCCCATTGTGTCAGATGGGCCCTGTCAGATGGGCCCATGGCGACGGAGCCAGAGCAGCCCACATGAGGGAGGAGACAGGGACCTGGCTTCTCTGCCTGTCCACACCTGGCAGGTCGTCCTTTGGGGACTCTGTTTTCTCAACTGTCAAGGACCAGAATTCCCTCTTTCCCCTCTTGCGCTGTGGATAAAGGCATAGACATGTTACAAGTGATTACGTAACTTTTCTCATTAAAGATATGTAATAACACGGTTCCCCAAGATGCTCCAAGTATTTGGTAATTATTGCATGAATTGATTTTTGTTTTTAAGTCAAAACATACTTTGGTAAACATTCCTGTGAAGGGAGGCCCATTCCAAGTCTGAGACAGAGTTGGAGTGCCACCAAGACCCTGCCTGGGGCCCCGCTGCTCTGCCAGCCAACTGATGGGCTCCTTTACCCTATCTCTTCCTGGCAGTGCTCCATGGCGGTGAGGAAGAGGGTGAGGCCTCGCCACCCCGCGGAGGGCCCCCTGGCCCGCCCCAGTGCTGGAGACAAGTCTGGCCCCATCTCCCCACTGGGAGCTTGGCCAACCCAGATGTTCCCACAGCCCCTCCCTCCACTCCTCGTTCCCTGGACAGGGCCCATCTCCAGCGCATTTTCCTCACTCCAAGCTCCTTCCTTGCCAGATTGCTTTGCCCGAGGATTCTGTCCCAGGCTGGGAGGGGCTGGGGACCTGATTCTCTCATTTCCCTGTGGTTTGGCATTCCCGAGTCTTCCCTTGCCTCTGTTGCTTTCAGAGCAAGCCCCGCCGTTGTCTGCAGACTCTGGCTCCCTGGATGGGCAAAGGGAAATGCCTGGGTCACCCTGATGCCTCTGAGCCTGGTGACAGGAGCTAATGATGGCAAATACAGACTGAGGGGCCACCTTGCCACTGCCCGACCCTCCAGGGAACTTGAGCGCCGTCCCATTTCTGAAACTCCTGGCGGTTGCTCAATAAATGGTGAGTCAATGAAGGAGTGTAGGGGTGGCTGCGGGGTCCACCGGAGGGGATTTCCGTGCAGAATGATGTCCGTGCAGAATGATGTGTGGGAATTGTTGTGAGAACAAACATTAACCACCTTTTGCCCCTATTTACAAGGCTGTGCTATTAAGTGCGGAGCCGAAGTCAGCCAGCCTCATCCCCTCAGGAGACCTGAATTTATAAATGGTGGTCAGGATGAATCCAAACAGGATTCCTCCCCCAGGTCACGATTGTGACATCTGGAGAAATGTATGGGTTTGTCCTGGGTCAATGCCACCACATGG